AAAAAAAAAATAAATAAAAAAATAAAATAAAAAAATAAAATAAAAAATAAAAAATAAAAACATACAATTAATCGAGGGATTAATATATTAGATTCATTCGATACTCTCCAAAATTCGCGAATAAGAAAATAAATAAATGTTCCCTCCGAAAAGGGGAAAAGGTAATTTAGGCCGTTCAGCGCGATTATAAAAATATCACTGATGCAAACTGCCTGCTGTATAGGTGTGGGTCTGTATTAAATGCGCGCACGTGCTGTCACGTCAATGTATATGGAAATTAAATATAATAACGGTATTCGTTCACGATATGGCCAACTCGAGCAATTCCAATGCTTATAGCGAGCGAAACTAAACTTTTCCTTCACATTTCATGAATTGCTAATTGTTCTTTATTACTATAAAGCTTTTTATCATTGTTTTGAGTAATGAATATTGAAGATGCAATTAATCGAATTTATTTAACATTGGCGTGTTAAACGCGTAGTCTTAAAATAAAGAGATAACGTTAAACTGTCCTTTCAAACTGACAAAAGTTGAGAAAAATAATTAATTTAGGTATCAAGTGATAACGTCTATGATTATTGATTTATGGAAAAACGTTGGCTTCGAAGAACAAAAACATAGTTTACTACAAATTAAATTTAATATCTTAAAGCGATCTCTCTCTCTCTCTCTCTCTCTCTCTCTCTCCCTCTCTTTATTTATTTATTTTTTATTTTATTTTTTAATCTAATTACACTCATTACCGTCATATAAACAAAAAGTGTCAAATATTATTTCTGGCAATAACTATTATTGAAACATTTGATGTCACAGACGTCGAAATGATTCGATCGAGAGCTTGAATATTAGCATAAGAGGGGGGGGGGGTCGTCTCGATCACCTACCAGCACGAGATCTATAAAAATAATTTCATATCAAACGATACAACTAATATCACAGACGGTTTTCACTTCTTTGAGAAAATCGCCTCCACAACAACCCGAGGTATTTGCAATTGTTAATGAGCGTGTGAAACGTCAAAAAAAAAAGTCTCATAATCAATGATAACACCAACGTAGAGTAAGAGTACATAAACGAGAAATTAACGTAAAATGGATAAGAAGATGCCCATGGCCGTGAATGCATTGGTGAAAAATATGTTAAATGGAGATAATCCGTTATTCACGGTGAATTTGCGATGTGCACATCCGGAAGCAGAAAAGTTGAATCATCGTCCTCCGAGTCGCATATTACGACTTATGTCATCGTACGTCTCGGCCAATTAATCGAATATTACAGCTCCGCGATAACGAGGTGGACGACGATCCTCACAATATGTCAATGATAAGAAAGTCGCAGTAATCGCGAGCCCCCACCACCGCCCTCTCCCTCCCTCACCAATCATACAGTATCCTAATGTAAAAATATCGCAGGCGAAAACGAGGGCCAAAGTATCGCGCTCGAGGGTGGGGGGTGGGGATGGGGGGGTGGGGGGTGGGGCAAAAAGTTTCCTCGCGCGAAGGACGAGGAGACGGCGGGTCACGGTGCCCGTGCAACGAGGTCGTCCCCCGCTGTCCCTATAAGCGAGCCAAATTTTACCGCTATTGCGATGCACTTCCTTCCTAATGGAGGCGCTCGAGAGGCCTCGTCGCCTGCTCGCACGGAGGCTCCGCCAACTCTCTATGATTAAATCGACGTCGTGCGGCGGAGTTGCGCGCCCCATTGGCCAATTCCTCGATTCTTGTTGTACGCACACACAGGGACGGGCGAGGAGCAACGGCGCTCTGACGCGCGAGATGGGCGCGCGCGCACCGGGTATTATGGTTTGTTGGCGGTGGTGGAGTGTTGGATTGTAATTCGCGGAATGACGGGAATGGAACGCGCAAGACTCATCAAAACTAGGATAAATAAAATTCGGCGGTTATTTGCAATTTATTTAGTTATGATTTGCGATAACGATTAGTACCGATGTATCGTTGTACGTGTCACAGGTTTAATTGTTAAGCGTAGGAGAGTAAGAGCGTAGTATTTATGTTTGCTTGTATTTTGTTGACAGAGTTACGAGTGTTGGACGTTTTTAAAGGAGGCCAGCGGGCCAACTTTATTGAATGTTAAAGTCGAGGACAACGATAAATTGAAGCCTGCGAGTGAAAATCAACAGCTGATTCACCCAGTCGTTTGTAAATTAGTTATCCTGTTTATTAATTGAAACTGTAGGTAAAGATATATCCCGATAATGTTGAGTATACGATAAACGTTAATTTAACCTTCAAGTTTTAGGTACGTATACAAAGAAAACAAAGTCTACAAGGCTATAATGACGATTTTTTATTGTAATTAGTGGATTCAAGGACGTCAGTGTGATTATTCTTAAGAAAGAAGACTGTGACATCAAAACAAAAACATTCCATAAAGCAGCTCGATTTTTTTTATCAAAAAGACTAATTCGTTTAGTCTGTGTGCCTTTTGCATTTTTCTAATAAGGAAGTAAATATAAAAAATAAACTTTTTATAAAAGTCTATGGGAAAAAGCATACAAATGGATATCAGTAGCGATTATCAGAACGATCAGCCATTGATAGAGCATTCGAAAAGCATTGTTCACTTAGACGTCGATTGTTTCTATGCTCAGGTGGAAACTGTACGCAGTCCCGAGCTTCGAGGCCAACCATTGGGTGTACAGCAAAAGAATTTAGTTGTAACTAGTAATTACGAGGCACGATCATACGGTATAAAAAAGTGTATGTCGGTCGAAGATGCCTTACATTTATGTCCAAATTTAATTTTGATTCGTGGCGAAGATTTAACACCTTACAGGCGAATGTCCGCTAAAATTTCTGAACTTTTACACCAGTTTACGCCGTTAGTCGAAAAGTTGGGACTCGATGAAAACTTTATTGATGTTACTTCGGTTGTTAATGAATACGCGACAAACATTAGTAATCAGTCCAGAAGTTCACACAACGATCAAAATACTATTCAACATGAGAGTAGTTTTGCATTACACGATAAGCAATCCTTCAAACCAATTGGTGAAATTTTTAGTCATTCGGAGGAAGAATGTCCATGTGGATGTCACACTCGTTTAGCCGTGGCAAGTAAAATTGCTATGGACATGAGAAACAAAATATTAAACGAGTTAGGACTTACCTGTAGTGCAGGAATTGCACATAACAAATTATTAGCAAAGTTAGGTGGAGCTTTGAATAAACCTAACAAGCAGACGGTAGTTTATCCTTGCTCTGCTGCACAGTTGCTTTCTTCTTTGGGATCAGTTTCAAAGATCCCAGGTGTTGGACGCAGAACAGCAGAATCCTTAACAGCTAACAATATTTTAACGGTTGTCGATGTTCGTAAAACACCTTTAGAACGATTGCAAGTGAAAATTGGTAAAGAATTGGCTAGAAAAATAAAAGATTATGCAGAAGGTACGTATGTGCAGATGTTTTGTTTGCTAAAAAATATATGTATAATAGTTTATATATATACTGGCTTCAAATGACTTTGTACAAAAATTTAATACAAAATACAATTTGTAATTGTACAATATTATTTGTAAATATCATTAAAATGAATAATTTCAATTTAAAAATGATTAATTCCTATAAAGGAAATAATAGTGCTATAGAAATAATTGTATTCAACAAAAATTGAATTATTTGTAAGTTGATTTATTTAATTATTAATTTTTTCTCAACTCGATATAATTTCCGAGTTCACTATTGTATCGTTTTTTTTTTTCTTTATAAAAATTAATCATAATAATTAATATCTTATCGTGTTATATAAATATCAAAATCGCATCAATTTTTTGGAATAAGAGAATCGTAACTAACGGAATAACTGGTTACCTAGGATGTAGCCTGCTATATAAATTAATTAAACCGTTACTTATGTCCTTACTATTCTGTAAATAATAATGTAGATGTATTTTTATTTTGAAATTATGTAGGTATTGACGATGCGCCAGTCAAACCATCGGGAAAACCTCAGTCGATTGGCTTAGAAGATGGTTTTAAAAAAGTTTCACTGGTCGATGAAGTAGAGTCGCGTCTTAGTGCTTTATTAAGGAGACTAACTGAACTGGCAGCTGAAGATGGAAGAATTCCAATTTGTATAAAATTAACTGTAAGAAAGCAAGATAGTTTAAGTAAGCCAAGTTTTTCAACGGGCAAACGTGAAAGTAGGCAATGTGCACTTCCACAGCATCTTATACCATCGAATAAAGGAACGAATAGGGGTCACGTTTATGATCACTTAAAAATTTTAACACTCGTTATGAAATTATTTCATCGTGTTGTTAATGTCTCTAAGCCGTTTCACTTAACTCTCTTGGGCTTGGCATTCACAAAATTTCAAGAAGAAAAATCTTTAGGTAAATGTAGTATTGCATCATTTTTGCGAAAACAAGTTGCTGTGCAATCTGTTATGGACATTAGTTCTGAAGAAGGTTTTTCCGATACTAGTTTAGGTTCTCCTATGAGTATCAATCAGCAAGAACGAAGTGATTGCGAAGAAGACAATGATGAAGAATTTCGAGAAAACAAAGATTTTAGAAATAAAGTACAGTTTCAGTCTTATTCTTGTCATCGTATTCGTGGTTTAGATAGAGCTACTCCAAGTCCAAGTGACATTCGTTGTAGTGGCGAAGATGATGAAGACATTCTTAGCGAAATAGAGCCTTCTCCAAAAAAAACAAAACTTGAAGTTTGGTTGAGTGGGCGAAGAGAATCTCCAAGTAATGAAATGGCTGATTTAAGACTTAATACTCCATCATCTTCTCCGATATCAAAAAATTTATTGCAAACTGGACCAACAGCCTTTAAATCTACAATACCTGTTGATCTTGACAAACAAGTAAATCATTCCTGGCCTGCAAATACAAGTAACAAGAAACCAAATGATATATTTAAATATTTTATAGCAAACAAATGACCAATTTAACAACGACTAGATAATTCCATAAAAATTAATTGAAGTATATCAGAATATGTTTTTTACTACTTTTTTTTCTGTAAGTGAATGGGTCAAAATGTGATTAAGCATGGTGAGTGAAACTCATATATACTCTATGCGTTTCCTGCAGGGCAGGGCGAGCGAACAAATAAAGCAGTTTATACATAGCTGCCAAGATTACTTTATACTTATTGTTATAAAAGAAATTGTGCACAGTTTACTTGTAAAAATTTTGCATTATTTTCAGGTCATTAGAGTTGATATATATATATATAAAAAAAAAAAAAAAAAAAAAAAAAAGAAAAGGAAAAAAAAAAATAAAGAAATGTCAATATTTTTTACAGCTAGTGTTATATTGAGAGGTGTAGCACAAAAAATAAATTATCCATGTTTCGTAAAAATGCATTTGTTTTTATTTAAAAAATATAAGATCAAGCTTACTTTAATTTATTAACAATAATGAATGTTTACATAAGTAAAAATTAAATTTGAAGTAAAATTAAAATTATTTTTTTCCACGCGAAAATGTTACCACCATCCTGTTTATATAAATGTACGTATTAAAGCTTTATCGTATTTAAATTCAATTGTCTCGATAAAATAATTTAAAAGTTGCTCTCAATTATTGAACAAGAACTGTTGCTTATAACGAACGTTAATAATTATTATTCGTTATATAATCGAACGTCTCATAAAGACTTTAAATTATTACGCAAATCCTTGGATTATAGACTGAAATAAAAGCAATATTTTTTCACATGAATACATAAATATCATATTTATAATTGTTACTTGGAAATTCGTTATTTTCAATTTTAATAAATATGAAAAAGAAATTTGGTGCAATTATTTTAAAATCTATTCATAGAAAAATATGTCTTTAATAAGATTGTAAAACGCGTAAGTTACGTAATATATTACATTTGATTACAATATTTTTTTATGATGGTTTTTTTTTATTGTATCGGATGTATATGCGAGCGAGAACATTTCAAACATTTTATGTATGAGATTTTCAAATTTCAAATATTTACGTATAGAACAATTCTCGTGTTTATCAAAAAATATGTAGTTAATTATGTATGTTTCCACAGCGAGTATTAAAGTACGTTTGTACCGAGTATTACAAATTACTTTGCAAACATTTTCCATTCTAATTATGCAATGAATTCAATGTTCGTTCACAATATCATCAAGTAAACTTGAAAATATATAATGATATAAAGATGATTAAATATCGTTAAACAATTTGTACAGAATTTGTTGGTATGCCTTTCGGAAATATAATTCTTGTGTGAAGCTTCAGCATCGGTTAAATAAGAGCAGAGAATATTTCGTTATGATAACTTGAATTATGTTGATTGCATGCCTTACTAATTAATCCATTCGACATTCATTTTTCGTAAAAAGCTTTACTTTTCATATGGAATCGATCGTATTTATATTTATGTATTCGCTTAGAATATCATTTTCGCATGAATTTCATCAATTATTTTAAACAAAAGCTTCACCGTATGTATGTATATGCGCTTGGTTTTTCTATCTCTTCTTTTTATAATAATTGTTTTAAAATATGATTTTGAAAAAAATTTTCACCTCAAGTTTAATGTTTGAAACAGTCGTAAATTTATATCACCAATATAATCATTATCAAATGAATTTTATAATTTACATGGAATTTATTGAATAATTTATATTATATCTATAAACATAATAATGTGCAAGATTGGTTAAATTAATTTGATAAAATCCATGATAGACGAGATAAAGTATCGATTAGTTAGAATATTAATTAGCGATAAATAATTTTTCAAATTACAACTAATGATGCGAGATATCCGGGCGATGGCCAGATGTACTTAACCTGCTTTATGCAGCAGCCATTTTTTCAAAAGAACTCCAATGCGCATGAACATTAATGAACATATTCGGCATCTCTTCTCATAGAAAAAGTAGTAGTCTTTTTTTTTTTTTATAAATTCTCGATGCTTGTAGTATAAACATGTGCGTAAAAGTGTTTATAAAAATATTGTATATCGTCCGTCTTCAATTCAAAATTTCAACCCCTCATGCGTGAATGTGTTAATTTCATTTTTCATTCGAGAAGTCCATAACGGGTAATTAAATTAAAGTACCATGGCATGTCTTTATTTATTATTGCAATTAATTATTGGAGCTCGTGATACTTTTAATTAAAAATTTAAGAAAAATTTTTGTTTCAGAAATCATAATAATACTGTAAAAAGTATTTGGTATTATGCGAAAGGAAATAACTTACGCACAATCAAATAACCCACAAAGAGGAGTTATTGACATTGCCATTAAATTAAACAATCGCTACACGGATACTAGAATGAAAAAATACTATCAAGCTGCTTTATTGATAACAGCAGTAGTTAGTTTGATTTCTCTTCTTTTTTATCGCCACGAATATAATAAATTACGATATGTTCTGGAAGTATTTAATTACTTTGGTAAGGCATGTCCGGAAGTGCCAAAAATTAGTTGCCCGAAGAAATTTTCTCTTGATTTAAACGAGCCTCGTTCGGCTTGGCAACGACTAGACGATGATTTGTACATCTACTCATCGTATGTCATACACAATGGGAAAATTGAAACGATTAGCTATGGAAAATTAATTAGTCCCAATTTTGATTGCAATATATTTTTTAATAATTTGTTAACTCCTATACCTGGTATTTTTTCATTTAGTATAATAGGTAATACAAGCGATATTCCAGGAAGAACAGCTTATCGAGGATACATTTTAGTTTGCGAATATACAGAATATATGATACCCGTTGGTGTATCGTTCCAACAAAAAGATCAAATACTTTATAATCCAAACAGTTCTGTGTTTCCCATAAACATACAGCCTAAAGCTTTAACTTACAATGGTAGTGCATTATGCGTAGCTCCACCTTCAAATATACCAATGTCTCATACCGAAATGTTAAGTTTTCTCAATTTTCATGAATTAATCGGTCTGAATCATTTTGTGATTTACGATTATGGTATACCTAATGTGTTCCATAATGGAATAAAAAATATGGTGCAGGATTTAAATCCAAATTGGAACTTCACATACGATGTAATACAATGGAATTTTCCAATAAGAGATATTCATCCAAATATTATAAGAAATATTATAACAACCGACTGCTTGTACCGTACATATAAGAAAGTTATGTATACAGCCACATTATCGTGGGATGAATATATAGTTTTGAAATTTCATCAAATCGTTTCCGACTTACTTATTGATTTTGAAAAAAATAAATTATTTGGAAATCGTTTTGTAATAGAGACTCAAACTTTTTGTATTCAGCAAGAGCATCAGAAGACATCCACAACAGCTTTTGTTCCATATATTCTTCGTAAATTGTACACCTCGCCAAATGCGCTCAATGCTAATTTTCTGTATATATACAAGCCGCACGAATTTCTTAATGTGAAAAATATTCAAACACTTAAGGCAGCAGCAAAATTGATTATTGCAAGTCGTTATGTATTTTGCAATGATTACAATGCCAATAACGTAGAATTTAATAAATACGAACCTTCGATATTAAGGTTCGCTAAAGATATTACAAATTCTACGATTTTTCAAAGATACGTCTCGGGAAAGATGTTTGATTTGAAATTAAATTAATATACTCTTAAGAAATCACCAAACAGCATAAATTTTTTTGATAAAAAGAAAACTTAGAGAAATTAAATGGACCATCATAAGAATATTGTGATAAACATATTAATACCTTAATTCTATAAAAGGATTAGTATCTTGAGTATATAATACAGGATTTTTCACAAGTTTATTATTTACTGTATTTATTTATTAAAGAAATTTAGTATTAAAATTTAATGAAATTTATGAAATCAAATTGTAATTTGAAATTTATTTTTAAAACTACATTTTAACTAATCGAACTTTTATGTTAGTTTTAAAATTATCCTTAATTTATAAATCGTAGTTGTGATATACAAAACTCCTTAGTCTATGTTTATAATTATTATGTAAGATATTATTGTTCATTTTGTATATTAAATATTTAGAATTCATCAACAAATCTATCAAATTTAGTATAATTGATATATATATATATATATAATTAAAATTAATATAATGTAATATAAAATTTATATTGATAAATATTATAAATACCTCACGATTTAAATTAAAAAAAAATTTATAGTAAACTTAACGTAACGTAAAAATCAAATATTTATAAAAAATTATTCTATAGATACTTTTGTAAAAAGTTATAAATATAATTTTAACATAATTTTTTAATTTAAGAACATTTTAATTATAATTTGATAAATATTTTCTGCAAAAGAATGGTAAAGTAACATGTTTTTATTCTAGACACCTCCAATGTTTATACTTATAAATAACATTTCAAAAATAAGTACAGATATAAAATTATTTTCATATAAACTTTATTCTCAAAGACTTGTCTAATGATTATTTAATAAAGAATTTGTTTAAAGCAATTTATTCATATTAATTATTTAATTGTTAATTATTTCAGTCGTTGCATTATAACAGAATTTTGAAGATTTAATTCTTCAATAGTTTTACTTTCTTCTGTAAGTTCTTTAGTAGGAAAAGTTGTTTGTAAATTAAAGTCCCTCAGAGCATATTGAGGTCTCACACTATCATAATTCAGTTAAGGAAATTTAATGAAAATTTAATTGTTATGAGTACTTATAAGAAATTTTTGTAATTCATTCTTTTCACAAAAAATAAATTAATATAAGTAAAATAAAGTTACTTTATATTTATTTCATTTGAAACAATATTAAGTATTTTAAAATGAAAAATAAATAAAAAATATTGAAAATAAATTGAATGAATTTGTATTACTTATAGATATTATATGTAATTAATACAAGTCATAAAACAGTACTTACAATTTCATAAAAAGGATACTTTATAACATATCTTCTGACATCGCCAATGGTATGTGATAAATTAAATTGAGCTCTTACGTTGCTGCCGTCAGCTAATCTAATTTGTATTGTAGTTGAAGGTTGTTCATTATTAATATTTAATTGATTTCTTGCTAGTACTTCGTTAGCAGCTTGATCAGCTGGATCGACTGATACTGTCACTCCAACTGTAGCTGGAGAAGGACTAAAATAAAAATGTCATAATTTTTTAAGGTAAATATTACATAAAATTAAATGAAATTTAGTAATGGACAGAAATATTGATGTACCTTCCTAACATTTGGCCTTTACCAGAAAACGCTTTAATTTTGGGTTTTGGAGGAATATATTCTTCGTGACGATGATCTTCCATATTAAGGTGCACTTCACCTCCTTGAACTTCTTGTCGAATTCCCAGTGGAATTTCACCGCGTTTAATTGCTGCAAGAAATTCTTTATTTTCCGGATCATCGTACGGTCGGATTTCTCTATCATTTATGGTAAAACCATTTTGCCACAATTTTAAAGTAATGAGGCTAGTAGACGGTCTTCTTTCTGATGGTGTAGGTGTTACGACTGCAAATTATAATTATAAATTTTTATAAGAATTAAGAATATGACAAAATAGGTGTGAAATAAACTCTAAAAGAAAGGTTGTATTTTATTTAATTTTTGTTTTGTCTAATTGAATTATTTGTGATTTTAAATTTCTTTAGATAAGAATATTGGTACGATTGAAAAGTAAATAAATTCTAACGAATATCAATAAAAATTGACGATACAATGAATGCTTATTTGAAAAAATTACAGTAAATGTATGACAAATATTTTTTTAAATCGATTGTTATTAAAAAATTTTCCTTTCATATTCTGGGTGTTAAAACACAAAAGCATTTGTTTTTATATACGATGTTTATTATTGCATAAAATTTAATATATTTAGAAGGAAATATAAGTATTTAAAGAATAAATAATATAGTTAATAATAGATAAAATACCTATTAAGAAACCTATCTAAAAATATTTTTTAATAATATTTAAAACTCTATTGTTAGATATTAAATTGAAGCAAATGAAATATTAATTTTAACTCATAAGTATCAATAATAAGAAATAAATTTCTAACGATATAAATTATAATATAGAATTGTCTTTTAAACTTTTCCATATTATTTAAACAATTTTATATTTTTAATAATAATATTAAATATTAACATTATACAAAATATATATTATGCATTTATCTGATCTGAACTCTGTCAAATTAAAGTTTATTGTATTACTAATTTTTATTAAAATATTTATATTAATATATATATATATATGTATATAGATACACACACACACACACACACGCGCGCAAATCAAAATGGTTGATTTTCATAATAATAACAAAAACATACAAATCATTATATAATTCTTTGAATTTAAAATTATAATCAGTTTGTTACCATAATAATACCTTCAGTGTCATTACTTGTCATTCCTAATTTATATCCAGTACCAACAAACGTATTTGGCCTATGCTGACTACTACTAGACGTGCTTGATTCACCGCTAGTATCTTGTTTTTGACACGATTTAAACATATCTGTTATAATATCATTTTTTTTGCCAGGTCCTAAAATTTGTTGTCCACTTGTTTCGGAACCACCGGCATAGAAAGCTTGTCCTTCTTCCTCGTCCGAACTACTCTCTTTATTTTGAAAATCTTGAATAGTACCAAAATTTGATTTCTTTTTTGATTTAGTTTTGGATGGTTTCTTTTCTGTAGGAATAGGCTCTTGTCGTCTAGCCAAATCATTAGATTCATTATAGAGATCTTCCTCTTGTTCTCTTTCTGTATCATACTCAAAAAATCTGCCAAGTGCAACCTAGAATACATAGTAAGGATTTTACATTCCAATAAAGTTTTTTTTAGAAAAGTATTTGCTATTTTTTAAGTAATACCATCCAAAGTGTAATTTTATTATTAAAGTAGGGTTACAGCTATTTTTGCTGTACAATAAACAATATCTTTAATTCGCAATAATATAATTCAATTGTCTTACATCAATTTGCCAAGCAGAGGATTCTAGATAGAATCGAGCTCTTGCAGTATCAACCCCAGTAACGTCTTCAAAATGTGCAATCATCCCTTCACGATCGTCCATTTTTATTAAAAGATTAACTTTGATATTTAAAACTTAAACTTTAAAAAGTGAGCTAATAAATCTTTTGCTTTCTTTGTATAAGAATTTTGGACAAATCTTCAATTTGTTGTTTGTCATTGAAACCATGCATTGGTCATTCTTGGTAAACCTGGCTCATCTTCATATAAAACTTTTGCGCTAAGTCGGTGGTACCAATGATTTTGAATCTGCAATATTATTGTAGCCTTACCGCAGCGAACGTGAACGCGGATTGCGAATCAGCGTGTTGTAAGTTTTGAAAAATGAAATTATTGCAAGAATTATTACATTAATATTAATTGAAGGCGGGAATAAATTGTAGGTATAAGTAGGTAATCACGTGTATTATGTTCAGTCCTAGAATCCTTTTTAATTATACAGGTGTGAAATATTTTAATCGATCGTTAATCGAACGGCGATTTGCATTATTTATTTATTTATTTATTTATTTATTTTATTTTATTTTATTTTATTTTATTTTATTTTTTTTTTTTGAACATTGTAATTAATGTATGTTATGGATTCAAAGAAAAAGCATAGTTGAATGTGATAAGATAAAGGTTTGTCTATTACAGGCATAAATTTAATAACTTCGGGGAATTAGAGCGGCAACTTATTTACAGGCTTTCTTCGAAAACAATATGATAAACATTATAGTTTGCAACATCAATTTGCAAGCTTTTATTTATTTATCTTTTCGTTTTTTATGAAAATATAAATTTTTTATGAGACGTTCTAGCATTTCTACGTAAAGCTTATTACAACATGTATATTTTGTACGTAATAGCAACAAATCAATGAAAACTAATTTAAACATCTTTTCTATTATCAATGAGATATTTTCATGGTTGCTACTCGATCAATCTTATCTTCGCCCGGATTAATTTGTAATTGTAATTTACTAAAATATTTGGATAATATAGGAATTTAACATTTAGTCGATTGTTATGATAAATGTATAATAATATCATTCGTGTCTGAGATAGTTAGTCTTCAATAGTTAGGCAGTGTGGCATAAATTAAATTTTATTACATTTCAAATATTAGATTTCAACTCTCTGTGTTAAGTGAGCGAGATTAAGTGATATTTAATTTAATTTTATAAATTATATAGTGGATTTACCGTTTGCATACACCAATAATATTTGAATTTGTAATATTTTATTCTTTGCTTTATTCGAATTTTACCGTTATCGGAACATATATTTTTTATTTCATCACTAGCGAAACTTTATTTTTATTGCAAATAAATATGATTGTATGGATGTGTCGATTGTTAAATACGATTTGCCTTTATCTTTTATTTAAACAAAAACTATCGTACCGGCTTTTAATTTTATTTAAATTTTGAAATTTTCTCTCATTTTTCATTTTAATGACAATGTCGCAAAAGTCAGTATCCAAGTTTAAAAATTGCCACGAGCAAATTTTCTATTATATAATTAGATAATTTAATATTATGCTTATAATATAAAATGTTAATTTGTCTATTATTATTATTATTATTATTATTATTATTATTATTATTATTATTATTTTATTTTAATTTTAATAATTTTCTTTCATTATATAAAGGCCATCGTTTAATAATATTTTATTTAAAGAGAAAATTTTGTGTAAAAAAAAAATTTTTTTTTTTTTTTTTTTTTTTTTTTTTTTGTCAAATGATACTATTAATCTGTGTATGAGTTTTACATAATTGTAACGTACTATGTTATCCGTATATTTAATAATCTATTTTTTTTATTTTATTAATTTTTTTTTTTTTTTTTTTTTTTTTTTCCCCACCTAATAACAAACAGATTAAATGCTCTAACTGAAAAAAATACTTCTGATTGTATTCAGGAATATTATTCATTATTGGTTGCTTTATTAATCTTTCAACGTGCTACATCTTTTGACAGATGTTAAACAGAGTCATTAACCATAATTTATTTTTGATAAATTTCGAGTGAGTTGATTCGCATGATATAAAAGCTGCAATATTTTATTTAGCTTTAATATTTTTAGTAATCTAAGATTTGTTATAAATTGTATTAAAAAAATGTATTGGTGCGTTTACATACTAATTACTTGAGGTACAACCTTGTATAGTGGCATCAATGAATTATAATTCCTTTTTTCTTCTTCGATTAGCACAGTATCAAATGAAATTAATGCTATCAATTAACATTTCCATAGTTATTTCTAAATATTTTCATTGTATTGCCAATCAATTATAATATCAAGTATTTTATTTCTCAATGCTTGTAAACTTTTATCTCTATTGTAATAAAATGTTTCCATTGAAAAGCCCTCATTTATAAAGTTAGAGATACTAATAGTTATAGATTAAATATTTTTTATTGTTTTGTCGATCGATTAATCGTTAGCTCTGATAAAACTGTAAGAGTGCTATGCGAGTACATTAAAGCAATGTTAATATTACCACAAATGAATGTTAGCCTAAGTGTAGGGATGCCTAGCGCTTTCGAATCATCAGAATCGATAATAAAACATAAGATCCAATGTAGTTTGCTATATTTCCTTTCGATAATTTACGTATCTGCCCCTACGATCAATTGAGAATTCTCTGCTAAATTGGCGAAAAATAATCGAACACGGCAATAATGAGATTATTCGAAATTTTTATTTTGAAACTGTATAAAAAAGCGATTCTTTCGATGTGTTTCGTGCATTTTTTTCACGCAATTGATAGTGTAATGATAATGCTTGAAACATTTTTAAGAATTTAATTCTATATATGAGAATTTCGTATATGAATATTAAAAGATCGATTAATTATAACAAGTTTTCTAAATGTTGCTCGATGCAATTTATTAAGTTTTAGAGTACGTAATCTTTGGAAATATAAATGGAAATATTAGATTTATTTACTTTATTTTAAACGATTGCCATGCTTAAAGACATTATCAACAGAATATAATTTTTCTTTACAATTAATATACATCTATAGGGTGACTTTTTTTTTTTTTTTGTAATAATATGTTGAATATAATGTTCTATTATATTATAAGGAATCTTACTAATTTCGAATAAATTTTATTTCTTAAGAGAAAATATATTTGTAAAATATAATGTCGAGTGTACGAATGTAAAAGAAATTTTTTTAAATAGTTCAATGTCATTGCTACCATTGAATCAAGCAGCAAATTAATTATTTTAAATAATACATTAATTTAAAGAAAATGAATAAACCTAAATTGAAAAATATGAATTTAATTATTAACCAATTTAATACTTTTTAATTTTTTTTCTCCCATTCTTTTCTTTTATTTTTTATGAGTACTTTTATCTTATTATTTTTATTATTATTTTTTTTAATATACACATTTTGTCATGTAAATTAAAACAAAATAAAAATAAAAACTTAAATAGTAAATAATAAAATAGTAATTTATCATTACGAGCATTATATTACAGGTACATAATTACAGATATTTATGCTTTTTAAATATATTGTACAAAAAAATCCGAGCGTTGTACAAAGTTTTGAAATATTAATTAATAATCAACTATTTAATAGAAGCAATTCTTTTGATTAAACAAATCATTTTATTATTTTTTTATTATCGATTTTTATCAATTACATTAACATAATTTTTTATGAAATACAGTTGTTCGCATATACTTTATAATTCTTGTATACTTTAACTCATAATTTATTGTGATTTTTCATAAACTTTCAAATAGTTCGTGATTTATAAGATATTAATTTAATTTATTTTTTTCTTTTATTTAAACACAGCATTTATAAGGAATGCTTATTTTATGGTTCATTTTGCTTTTTAAATACACGTTTTGTATTTTACTTTCTCTTTCAGATAAAACTATAAATGCTCAAGTTTTACTATAAATGAAGATAATGAAAAAATTGCATTAGTTAATTTATTAATTAAATCATGCTGAATTATTTAATGTTACCATTATCTTATTTATATAAGTAAATATAAGGTAAGGAAGCAATTGGGAAGTCTTTTTGAATTTTCTTTTTGTAAAATAAATTAACAATAGAGTAATAAATAGTAACAGGATTGTTTTTATTAATAATTATAAATGAACTGCTGCTGTAAATATGCTGAATATGCTTGAATTGTATTAGTTATTATTATTTGCAAAATTTGTAATATTTACGTTATTATTTTATTTTATATAATAGATTTGTTGAGATATTTTATATGATATATATAGAATAAAGCTATTTTCAAAATGATAGTAAATGACGAAGCAAAAGTTTTATATTTTTTTCTTACACTTGGATTAAATAAACTTTATAAATTCTATTGTATTGGCTATGTAATCATTTTTATTTGTCTATCATTTACACGATATAGATTTACATTTATATCATATTGTAGTAATAAATGTATTAGATTTTTCTTTAGACATTACTTTTTTTTTCTACTTATTAATCTATTTTTTTCTATTCTATTCGATTTTTTTTTTTTTTTTTTATATTTTTCTCTATAAAATAATTCTTTTATTTATTAATGTTTAACAGAAATTTCACAAATCATTTTTCAATATTTGAATTTGCTGTATACTTTTGGCAATATAATTTGGTACATTGGTGGCTTAGTTTTTGTTGTTGTTACCTGACAGTCACCTTTTACGTAAAATATATTTTTCATTAATTTGACTTATTTTTACTATTATTAAAAATTATTATTAATAAACGATTGAATATTATTACAATCATATAAGTATTTAGGTTATTTTTTTTTTTTTACTTTTGCTTATGTTTTCTTAAGAATTATTCTTAAATTATTCTTAATTATTTTTCGTCAGATCATGTACTGTTAATGCTCCAGTGTATTAAACTATATTTTAATAATGTAAATTATGTCGTTGCGTGTAACGTTAGCGCATGTACCTTCTGTGTAGTAGTATAAGCCAATTTAAAAACAAATCCTCATTGTATTTTATTGTCTAAAAGCGAAAATGGTTTATACTATTTGAAAATTTAAGCAGAAGAATATTTGATTAAAAGAGAACAAAAGGATTGGAGAAAAGATTAGATTGTTGTTTAATATTGTAAAAGTTTTAGGATGTTGCTAAAGGTTAGTATGAGGTTATGCATTTAGGTTATAATTGTATTCAATGAACTTTTATAAAATAAATCATTTAATTTTATTTACTATTTCATATTTATTTTAACATTACAATACAAATTACAATTTTGTTGATTAAATTTTTATTTATATTTATGTATGCATATGATTATTATGCATATATTTACACACACGCAAATTTATTTATTCAGCTTGACAATATAATGCAGTGCCGCGTTTAATCCATATTTTTGGATTAACATTCGATTTTAGATTAACTGACAATATATAGTTATCCAATAGATTTTCAGAATTGCAATAACTATTATGCAGATTTGGTGTTACGTATAGAGGGCATTTATAAATGTTTGTGAGATTCATAGTTTTCTTTAGTGTTAATTCAAAAGAGACGATTGGCATATCATTATAAAAAGTTTTTAGTTTTGAATCGCTTAATGTTTTACTTTGTTCGTTCCATTTTGCTCCTATTAAGTATAGACCATATACATAAATACAATTTTCAGGTACACAAATATCATCGGAGGGATATTTCATTTCTAATACATTGAATTGAAAAGTAACTTGATCAACGGGCACACGTTTATCTCTAGCAAACATAGTCTTAATTGTTGACAGAAGCATTTTACAAGACATCAATCCACCGAACCAGTAAAAGCGTGGGTGTCCGTTATCTATCCAGTTGTTCATAAATTTTATACGCTGCAATAAATCTGTTATAAACTTGGATAGTAATTTTTTAGTACACAGGGAAATATGCATTTTCCATGACTTTGGGACTAGATCCAGGAATATTTCATCCGATATTTCATCCATTTTATCTGTCCAAATTAAATATCCATTATAAGCTTTGTTGAGTTCTAGTAACGAGTCTCTCATTACATTTAAGAATTTATTATACAATCTTATCTCTTCAATTAAAAGACAATTTAGTAGATCCGATTCCGAGACCTTGTATTTCTCTTGCACTCTTTTGATATCAAAATCTTGTGGTATCGTTTCAAGTATTTTAAAAACCATGAGCTTCACTCGATTATTTTTAATTTCAATATCATGAACGACAATTGTTTCATTTAAATACGATAATGAATTTACAAAGTCATTAGCTTTATTACTATTTCTTATCAAGTCTGCATTCTTATCGAGAGAAAAATCTTGAGGCGAGGTATGATTAGGAATGCTATTTCTAATATGCTTCAAATGCTCTTTGTATTCAATTCTCTTTGGTGCTCTGTATGCATCAACGGTGTCAAAGTCATAGTTGACGTCACTTATTATTTTGTAGTTACAATAATCCACAATTAGATTATCGACATAAATCTTATCTTGAGTATCAATGATTTTACCACCGTAGTAACATTCGCCTAAGAGATAAATTAAGGCTTTAAAAGGAACTTTATCATACTGATTGATCCAATTCTTCAGTTGAATGATCGATATTTGTAAATCTGATTCGTCAAAGTCATAATCGAAATTCCAGCTTTGGGAGGCAAAATGTTTTCTTTCTCGAATAACAGCATGAAAGAGACAAAATCCATAAAGCAATTTAGAAAATGCCCTATCCTTTCCCGGACAGCCTTCGAAAAATTCTTTATCCTTAACAAGCTCCGATTTATACGCCCAAGTTAATGTTTGTTTTATCTCACATGGGGAGTCGAAGGCAACTTTAATACTATTCTGTAAAATGCTTAATGGAAATTCCTTATGCGAATAAGTACTTATCCACAGTCGAAAGTCCAAAGATGTATTTGATACATCAAATTCTTCAAATACTTTTTCAAGTTTCATCATCCATGGCAATTCTAAATGACAATTATGCAAAAACACCCATTCGCCTTTCTGACGGGCTATTTCAATAAGTATTTCTGCCTTTTGTCCTTGTGACGGACCCATCGAGAGCGAATGCAACTTTGCCGAATATCCTAAGACTTTAGCGAACTTATTAACAATCGCAAAAGGTGAAGAGTAGCTGGGCAACATTAATATTATTGGCGTAAGGCAATTAGATTCGCCATAAGGTCGGCTAATATTACAGGAGACGAAGGAGCCGTTATTTTGTCCCATTACCGACTCGACAAATTCCGTTATTTTAACAATTATTTTATCCGGGCGTAAAATCCTAATGAGCATTAATTTTTGAAACGTCGTCAGTTTATTATCCCAAGGGGATGGCATGAGACAATCTTCGCATTCCAACGAATTGCAATACTTTCTCCATCTTGTGTTGTTGATGCTAAAGCTATTTGCCAAGTTTTGAAATACGCTTAGGGAGCTGCTTATTTTTAAAAGTTCTCTCCACGATTTATCAGCTAGCCAAGAAGATGCCGGATTAGGAATAATTTCACTATCGTATTTAGTCGATGGATTTTCATTGATATTCACGAAAGCATTGAACTCTGGTTCCGTAACTTGCTCGGTGTCCAATAAAGCTTTTGCGCATAAAATAAATGAATAGATAAGCCTGTGTCTTTCGAAGAGAGCAATTTGAACGCTTTGATGAAGATTTTGCGTCGCTGTTATTTTTAAATAGTCGATTCTTTTCTTATGAATGACGCTTCGATTCGATGTTTCGATTGATTTCTTAAACAATTGGATGAACCAAGAGAGGGAAAATTGATACATACAATTCAAATTTGGTAGTAATTTTAATGTGCCGTAAAGATGTGTCGAATACTTAGCAAATTGGCTGTAATTTTCCCGAAATATATCGATTTCATCTTTCATAGATTTTAAAACTTCTTGGCGCTTTTGTAAATCGATTATCCGGCTTCTCGATGATTTTAATATTTTAATGGCTTCTTCGTCTTCGAGAATATTTGCATTGCACGTAGCGAGGGCGTGCGCGATATTATCTTCTTGTTGATTAATTATTTGTTTGTTATTGACACGTTCGATTAAAATTTTCTCAAATTTTTCTTGAAGCTCGGGCTTCTCTTTAGAAACGACAATGTCTAAAAGACGCTCTTGAAGAGCATCGGCGGGTAAACAGAAATTTATGACGGTTATTATGTCGAACACGTCGGGTGAATAGCGAGGCTTACGACATCTCGTTGTCAAATAAAATCGGAAGCTCGGATTGTATGAAATAACGTCTTGGCCAAAATCTATGAACCAAGTTTCCGCGATTTTGTAGGGGTGACGGGAAAGGAGAGGATCGAGAGTGACGTCAATCTCTTCTTCGAGATTTTCTAATAAAACGGGTTTACCCATTTCAATACACTTACGTATTTTATCGATAAATCCATCGTCCGTAATCTTTACAATATGTAAATCGTTAACCCCTTCCATGTTTTTTATCCATTCGTTCGCTTGATTTTCCGGATCAATGAACAAACACCATAATAAAGAATTTTTCATAATTATGGCATTTTGTATGAGAGATTTATTATCGGGCAAGCCAGATAAATACCAAGTACTGGTCTGCTTCTCCGTCTCTAAGAAATCGATGAAATCGTATTCTTGGGAGAAGGGAATGTCACGTGTCTTCAGATGGTCTTTCCATTCGGCAATATGTTTTTCGCGATTTGTAAGATCGAGAGAGGATAGATATGTTATCGTGGCGCTGGATAATAATACATCGCCAGCCAGTGTGTCAAATAATTTTCCAAGTTTATTTGCATAGTCCATCCAACGAGACCTTTCAGTGCCTAAGCCCGAAACTAAATCTTCGGCTTTTTTTAATTTTCTCGCACAGCTGTCTATCTCTTTTTCCAAATCCAGCCTCTTAGCGATTGACGCCTCAAGCGTATCATTCAAAGCCGACAATTTCGCATTTAAGTCGATCAATGCTTTGCGCTTTGCATTTAGAAATGCGTCGATTTCGTCGCACTCCCGCTGAGCGGCAGCCAACTTTTCCTTCTTGGGCGCGACAATTTTCGCCACCGTGTCGTAAGAAATCATAGCCCTAACCCATTTACAAAGACCCTCGGCTGCGCTCGAGGCCTTGGCGACGATGTGAGACACAAAGTTCTTGTCCGACATGTAATTTTTTTTAATCGTCACTATAATGCCCGGAGAAATATTGTCCTTGTCGTAATCCTTTAAGCTTTGCAAAAAATTCATATCGCCTAATAAGCGTTTACTCGGGCCCCAATAGTCCGTACTCTTTTTACCAGTGACTGGATCTACGATTCTTTCGGAGGGTATGTTTAACATGACGCATACCGCGGCCATTACGAGCTTAACGGTGTCCGGTGGATTTTTCATTGATTTGACTAATGTAATGTCAGCTGGCTTCAAGATGTTTAAAGCTTCGAGAGCATCTTCGAGAATTGGAATCGCCACTGCAAGTTCCGACTCGCATTCGGCTTTCAATATATTAGCAAATTCGGCCTTTTTATTGGCCGTCTCTTCGTCGCGTTTGACGAGCACAGCGGCTTTTTCGATGGCAATATTTTCAATTTCAATTTCCCTCATCGTAATGTCAGTTTGCCGCGCCGACGCTTCCAATTGCGGCCTCAGCTTACTCAGTTCACTCTTCATTCGTAGAATTTCACGAGCGGCCAAGTTCAGCTTATCCAGCCCAGTTAAATAGCGTTTTCTCGTTTTTTTAATTTCGTTCTGCTTTTTGGCGAGAATATTCGCGTAAATTTTCAGGGCTCTTACGAAGCCCGAGTGCGACACGTAGAACAAATTTCCCGTCCTTTCGTAATATTGAATGCTAAGTTGCCTTGCACTATCGTAAATACGCTTATTAGCTACAATAACTCGATTTCTTATCGACTCTTGTATATTCGAATCTTTTAAATAATGTGTGGCCACTTCTTCGTAAGCAGCTTCCGGCCAATCGTGCCAATCGATACTACATTGGTCTATTATCTTGGGATATTTACGTAAATAATTGCATAAGGTTTTCCCAATAGGGCTTATATTAATAAGGAAGTGCATTCTGCTTTTACATTCGCGAAGAAAATATGTCAAAACGATCGACATATTTAATTCCAAGTTTCTTTGGCCTTCTTGGGCATCGAGGCGGGCTAGTTTAATAATATCCCGTTGCTCGTCGTCTGAAAATAATTCAGACATTTCGCCAAAGCTAAGGAAATTATTAATATCCTGTATGAATTCCGAGCTCGCTTGCCGATCACTCACTAAAATCGTATAGTCCTTCTTCGATCTTCCGCATTCGATCATTATTGACTTTATATCCCTTTTCCAGGTGGATTCGTTGTTGTAACGCCTATCCGTAATGGGCTCGAATAATAATTGTTGCTGAATGTGAGCGGCTAAACGAGCGAGAGATTTTCTACCAGAGCCGCTCGGGCTAATCATTAATAAATTTCCTCCCGGTGTCGCCAAAATACGACATATCCTTACTAAATGCTGCATCGCATGACAGGTAATAACCACATCTATTTTCCTCTCATGAATTTCATTATATTCCCTAAAGTATTGCAGAACTTTATGCTTTAAGCTTTCGATCGAATTGATTTCTTCATATTTTCTCTTTTGCTTTTCATTATCCATAAAGTTGCCAAACGCAAGGTCCCTAAAGCTCTCCTTAGTCAATTCGTTATTATCATATTTTGGAAGATGCTCGAAGACCGTCTCGAATGGCTCTTTGAAGCACGATCCGACAGTTTCGCGAACTTTAGAAAATAACCACTGATTGTCCTCGTCGTTTGTAATTCTATCGCCTAATACCCGTAAGGTTTCGTGCACCCACAGGCGAATAAAAGCTATCTTTGTTTCCATCGATTCTTTCGCAATTAAGCCGCACCCTTTGATTATTCGACATATGTCGTGCAAGGAGAAGCGATAGAGTATTTTTAATGGTGTTGGCCTTAAATTTTCCACAACGTCGACGTACAATTCGGCCATGGCGTTAGCGATGCTGCTCACGCTGCTCAAAACGTCTGGGGCGAAAGCATTTTTTTTCAACTCTAGCAAGAGTGATTTGGAGAATATTTGATATATATTATCTTTCGATTGAGATTCTATGGCGAATAGATTAAAGTGTCGCAAAAGTCGCGGGCATAGATCCCTCAAATTATTTTTCTCCGTAGTTAATGTCGCAACGAACATTGTATCGGCAATTTTCAATTTTTCGCGACATTTTAAATCATAAAAGAAGCCATAATTCATGTATTGTCTTATTAACTCTGGCGTTGAATTCACATTGGATCGATCGTTAGGCGTTGCGTGTAAATCATCGACGAAATTAATGCAAAATCTATTTTTTGATGGGCCGTAATTGTAGCGTTTTGTCTTGATTAATTTTGAGAGAAATAATCGTTGAGCGGCATCTGACTTTGTTATAAAATTAAAATTGAAGTAATTTGATATGTATTGGGAGTCCGGTAGGCTTGAAATGTACTCATTAACGATTGACGTTTTGCCGTTTGAGCTTTCACCACATAAAGCAAATGGCACTCGATGCTTTACGTGCAAATTGAAAAGCAATGATAATTTGACACTATCCATAGTTGGAATAAAAGGCTCACGGAAGAGC